GGACTGTCTAAAACCGAGCCCTGGAGATGGATATTGATTCGTAGAATGAATAATTCTCCGACTTGCATGTTAATTTGGCGCCGTGTGAGATTGACACTGCCTGTCTGTGCAATTTGGGCAGGCAGTGGTGCAGTATTCGAGATAGTTTCCGAGACAAGATCCTCGAAGAGAGAGGTCTTCACCGATTGAGCGAGGGCATGCGAGATGGCCAGTTTGATCATGTGGTTTCGCGGTTCGCGCAGGGAGATGAAGTCGTTGTATATGCGAGCTTGGTACTCACGCGCATAGTAGAAATTGAAGTTTTCGACCTGTGTATCTTCAGGACTCAAGATGGAGGTTGCGAATTTAGAGATATCGGACAGGAACCGGGACTCTTGTGCGGGCGTCATGCCCCATATGACGACTGTGCCATAGTCGAAGAGGAATACCTCCGGGGTGTGAATTGTGGTGTCGAAGTCTGGGGTTTCAGATTGAGTTTCCGCCACGGCACTCTCGGATTGGTGAGCTTCTGAGTCGCGAAGGTCGATGAGGTCTTCCCTCCGAGATTTAGTATTATCCTCGATTTCAACCACGCTGTCGGAGAACCTGCGCTCAGTGGCTGGTCTCTGGAAGTTTTCCATCGTGCCCACATTGTTCATGCCAACATTATTTTCTGATGTACTTCTTTGCTTTTCTTCATACAGGTAGTCGAAAGGCGAGTAAACACACTCATCGTAGAGTTTCGGGTTGGCTCCACGGGTTTTGGACCTGGATTTGAGAAATCTGGTCGCTCCATCTAGTCGATAGGAATTGGCCGTACAGTATGCTGTCACGCGGGGTAGTCGTTCTCTGTCTGCCTTGCCCAGTCTTGCAGCATGGCTTCGAGCAGTGGGTTCTTTAATCCGTGCGATTTGCGAGTAGACGTCCGAGGGGAATTCGCCTTCAACAGCCTCCTCGGTTATCGGATCAGGGAGAAGTTTCAATTTCTGGGCTTTCTTTGTCGTTCTTTGTGGGCCGACTTTGGGTGCCACAGGCATTGAGGGCGCTGCACTGTAGGGCGCTCCATGGCTATTCCGGCGACGGAGCTTGCTGTTCAATGCGGATAATCCAGTCGGTCGTTGCGGGGCATCCTGGGAACTCGGGAATGACGAAGGGCCGGAATATAGTGTTCGAACTGGAGCGTTTGTAGAAGTGGCATCGTGGTATGTGCTGACCGTGGTGAGAGGGTTGAAGGTGACTGTCCGCCGGTTCGCTCGCGGTGACGTATTAGATGGTGCGGGTTGCTGTTGGTGTTGGGGGAGTAGGGGGGTTGTTTCCGCGGTGGAAGTCATGTTGGATATAGTAGGTGAAGATAATCATAAAAAGCCTGCCATTGATGGGCAGGTGGATGTTAAAGAATGAGCAAAGAATAGCCCCGGAAGATCTTTCCGTCGAAATGGAGGTGAAGAATGGATTAACCAAAGCTTCCAGTTTCGCACGTGCGCCCACCAGAGGCTAACCTGCTATAGAACAAGCCTGCACTTCGACTTTGCCCACGGTCTAGGCTATTTTATATATGGTTGGTACTGATATCTTTGTATACATCTCCTTTCTCTTTCCTTTTTTCTTTTCTGTGTTACTTTTCCTTTCAGGTGGGATATAAGCAATCTGGACTAAGTCTCAGAGCATCTACTTCAAGAAAACAATAACAAGAATGCTAATAGAATCCACTTTTTGCAAGCGCCTTGTACCCAATACTCAGACGCCTAGACAACACTTAATAACTATCTACCGTAGAACATTATATGTCTATACAGGAAATTCGGGACTTTTTGAAGTCAAATCCAGCTGCATGATCAAAGTTTGCTTGCTGTGTATCCTTCACTCTGTAACCTACTCCTGGGAGCAAGACCGGCTTGGACCTTGCACATTGCGGAGGATGCGAAACCAATCCCTCGACATTGGTGTGGCGATATACAGAGAGAAGCGAAAGGCATTAGTTGCCATTCCTGAGATGATTCTCGAGAGTGATCGGAGGGACAATTGGTTCAATTCGCTCTTGATCTTGGATTAAAAACTGCTAGCCACCGCCGAGCCGCTCGATGGCAAAGACAAGGCCGTTTACTTGCGTACAAATCCGGAGGAACCGCCGGCTGTCCGTCTCAGACCATTCACATGCCCAGTACTGCGACTCCGGTCGAGCCAAGTCTGTTTACTATTCCGACCGGATTTCGAGGCCTTCGGGGGCAGAGCCGATTTGGCTCTCTTTTGTGGAATATCACCCAATACCCGAATCGTCACGTCGCCCATCTTCACATCCCTGGGGCGCTTCTCGGACTTTTCCAGGAATTTCAACTTGGTTGGCTTCTTGTGAGCAATGTTTATTCCTTCTGCGGGTGGAGTGGGTGGTCGTGTAACAGGAGCCGCATTCAAAATATCGTCTGGAAGAAGCGCTGGCAGAGCCGATCGCCGTGCATCTTGTGTATTAGAGCCCTGGAGTGTCTCTGTGCTTTCGGATGGCAGATCATCAACTGGCTTGTCTTTCTTTTTCGAAACTTTCGCTTGTGATTTACGCAGCTCATCCAACTGCCTTCTCTTCTCGCGCTTTAATTCTTCTTCTCTGTGGGACAGTTAGTAGGGCGAGCTATATCGGGGAAATAGCAAAGGCTATTACTGACAATTGTTTGGCCTTTTCCATTTTCTTAGCCTGCGCTCTAACCTTAGATAACTGCGCCGAGTTATCAACCGCTTCAGGAGCCTCATCATCATCACTGCTGTCATCGCCGCTGTCCTCCTTTGCCTGTTGCGTCTCTGCTGTTTCCTCTATCTGCATATCCAACGGTACCTCAGGTTCTTCGCTGTCAAATCTGAAGTGCTTCTTCGGAGCAGGTGCCGATTTTCCCTCTTCCTGCTTGGAATCCGTTTCCTGGGCATCGTCTGAAGGCTCTTCGGGAGTCCCGCTCTCACTTTCTGCGGCTTCAAGACTGGCTCGCTTTCTCCGTTTATTGCGCTGGGTTTCCGTCTTCCCAGAACCGGCTGGCCCGGATTTGCGCTTTCCGTTCACCTCCTGTTGTCCATTGATCTCAGGTTCCTCTTCTGCAACAACATCGGAAATCTTCCGCCGCCTAGTTGTGACCATCTTTGATTTGCTGGCGATTGTGTTGTCGGATGAGGTATTAGAAGATTTCTTCGATTGCGATTTGTCGGTATCCTGTCGAGTAAATAGACCCTTTGCCGCAGTGACAATATGGGAAAACATAGAGGATCCAGAATGGTCCGATTCAAAAAATTAGCTACCATGCATATATGGAGAAATGTTATTGCGTCCAAACTCGGCGCTTTTTTTTCAGGAAATTCATTTTCATGATCTCCACGGGACCACTTTTCTCCGAAGGCGGAAAGGTGTTAATGTGGGGCTATTAAAGTGGTAGCCATAAATTAGTACGTACTATTTGAGTAAGTAGTGAATAGCTCCAGCTGCCAGGTTCAAGACTGGTATACAGGAGAAATGTCAAATGGAACATGGTATCTCATATGCAATTCACGTAAATGGTATCATCCATACCCATGACCCAAGTAGTAAAGGAACGTAACGCCGAACCGAACACCTGCAGTATATACTTTTCAAAACCGCCAAAGCTTCGTGAGAGTCAAGACCAGGAGAGAACAGCTAATGCTAGCATCTTCACTTAGCATTAACCATCTGTCTGCGCTCCATAAACTCCTCATTTGCAGCCAGAAAATCGTCTTCGCCAATATCGCTGGTCTCATCCCAAAACTTCCCGTGCTCATCACCATCGTCGCCGCTGACTGTCCACATACTCTCTCGTAAACGCTTGTTTCGCTCCCGGTCTTCTTCGATTCTCTGTTCGATCTGTCTCTTGTCTACACGGACACTTCCCCTAGAGCCTCGTGGGGTGCCAGCCTTTGCTTCTACCCCCTCATCAGCCTCCAGATCAAGATGTGCTGGATGTGTCTCACGGTCTTTCAGACCGGCATTGATCTCCGCCACTGTTTCCGCTGAAAGGATTTCCTTGGCTTGTAATCCGTTGAGAACCCGACGCACATGCTTCACATTCGCTGCCCCCGAGCCATCCGGTGGTGCAACGGCATCCACTACACGTAAAATATCCCTCTGGATCATGCGGACGTATGGTGCATGATCTTCCTTCGTGGCCATTTCACAGAATTGTTCGATGAAATACATGATATTAGCTCGGTTGTTCATATTATTCTATAAAAAAAAAAAAAACACCATGGAGGTTAGTAAGTGAAGCCTTATAGCTGGCGGAATCAGCATGCGTACCCTTTCAAGCTGTTCCAGTATACATGAGTGAAGATCCTCGTCCATATCGCGGTATTTGAGCGCATAATGGGCAGCTTTCTGGGAGGATGTAATGGATGCATTTAGGTGTTGTAGCTGCGCGGTGAAGCGCATGCGAACTTCAAACGGATCGGCCATCATGGTTGCGGATTCACAGCTCAGCTAGGGGTCTGGAGAAGATATAGCACGCGATTTGAACTGAGGGTTTTGTACTTGTTCAGAGCTGTCGCAAAGAAGTCGGGGAATTATCATGGGTGGGGGGCACCGATTGGTCGGTGAAGGGCGGTCAGATTGATTTTGCTGGCAGAATGTGTGGGGTTGGCAGCTACTACTGAGCACTGAATGTATATTTGCTGGTAGCTATTAGTGTTACTAGTAGCCTGGACCATCTGATTCGGAAGCAACTGGTTCATCTAACTAGCTAAGTTTAGGTATAGAGGTGAGAACCCAACGTCCTCTCTTAGAAGGGAAAAAAGATGTATAGTATTCACATAGTACAGAGGACATGGATGCTATATATATACTAACAGGAAGGTGCGCTGACTGTTAGTCAAGCGACTGAAAACTAGGAAAGAAGGAGAAAAGCCAACACAACGCCATTGAGTATCTACCAAGGAAACCAGCCCTATCCCTTACCAAGTTCTATTAGATTTCAAAACCAAGTAAACGTGATTCGCGTCATGTATCTAAATATAGGCACTGTCGGATGTGCCGATCGTAGGGCGCGCTATATCGGCTTCAAGGATGTTCCGGTATAGCACTATTTTCTGTGCAAGAAATCAGAGCGACTGGCGCCTTTCTAAAGAGCTGGCCAGACTGGTCACGTCATCGTTCTCCAGGAGTCCAACCTCTTCTGCCGTATTCGCTGGGCGGACTACACTCTCTCTAGAGAATCCGCCTTTCCGGAACTCTGGTCCGTTGATGACCGACCAAACATCCTTTTTAGTGAGCAGGCCTTGGAGAACTCCTTTGTCCGAAAGTAAGATGTACCGCAGTCCAAGCCTTTGGAACATCTGAAGCACTAGCGAGAATGTCGTACTGCTGTTCAGGGTGATAGGGGTCTGGTCCATCCATGGACGAAGATCAAGCGTCTCCACCGGATCTGCAAAAGGTTGATGAGTAAAAAAGACCTGGGTTTCACCAGACAATTCTCGGTCTGTAGGCGACTTCGAATACTTCAAAGCAAACGAAAGTTCGTTCCGAGAGATATACCCTAGAAGGGTAGGGGTTGACGTATCGGTTACGACGGGATATCCACGGTATGAAGTGGTCAGGAGGAGGTGCCGAAGGCTGTCAATTGTATGACCCACGGCGGTAATGACTGTTAAATCATCCACACTTGTCATGACTTTATGAGCAGGCACATCGGGCGGAGTAGTATCATCACGTTGGTCGAGGAAAGGATACTCATTCAACTCAATCCACGACTCGTAAATGCCACGTTTCCCGAATATATCGCCGCACCATTTCGATAGCATGACTGCAATCATGATTGGGATAACGTAGGTGAGAGCCCCAGTGAGTTCAAACATGATGACCACTATCGACACAGTCATCCTAGTGGCTCCACCAAGAGCTGAAGCTGCACCAACGATTGCATATAGCCCGGGGGTGACGCAGGGGATATCTGGCTCGCAATTTCTGAAGAGGAAGACGCTGGGATAAGCTTCTTGCCACATCTTGAAAGTCGTACCTAGAGCACGCCCATATAAAGCACCAATAGCAACGGAAGGCAGAATAATACCAGCGGGTAGATCCAAACCAAAGGTCATCGATGCAAGGAAAAAACCAAGGATCGCAGCCATAAGCAAAAGAGCTATCGTAGTAACGGACGCAGCGCCAGTCTTGCAGAGACCGAAAGTATCTTCACCCCCATTTCCACATTCGGCAAAGAGAGAATGAACAAGCTCAGTGTTTTGAGATCTCATAAACAAGTTCGGATAATTGATCAACGCACTTAAAAGAGCTACCAACACCACCTCTGCAATTGGTCGTGACCAACTACGTGATCGTCGCCATTGAGCAATTTTCATATTCAAGCGGATAAGAAACGCTCCATATAGGCCGCCTAATATGCCAAGGGTAACAAACGGAATCATCTCAAAGCGATGCCATCCGCGTGTATACGTGACTTCGTAAAGGACAATATTACCCGTGCGGAAAGGGTTTAAGGCTTGCAACGTCACTGCAGCAACCATGGCACAGACAAAGCTTTGCCACATTGTCTTGTCGGGAAAGTAATAGGATAATTGCTGATCAATATTAGCAAGGGGTCGCCTATGAGGGATGGTGTCTCTAAAAGGTCATACCTCCAAACTAAACAAGACACCCCCGATTGGGGCACCGAACGCAACAGAGATACCTGCAGCGGCGGCCGCGGACAGAACTTCGCGTTTTCTCGCTGCATAATTAGCTTATGTGATTGGCATGGCTATAAAGAGCGTGTACCTTCGTTATGGTTCAAACTTTCGAAAGGCTTCATTATCACGCTGGCACAACAGCAGGCGACATGAACAAGAGGACCTTCTTTACCCAGCCACAAACCAGATGCGACAGATAGACACTTTGTAATTGTCAGCTTAAATATGCATAGCGTGTATTTTGAGGGAAGCCTACTAATCCCAAAGATTTTATCGCAAGCGTCCAAGGTCCCATAAAATGCCTTATCACGAAGCCGCCGAGAATTGTCTTGATCTCAGGGATACCGCTGTGTCTCGCATAAAGTGCATAGGTCCTAACCAAGACTGTAGCGCATATAGCAAAGAGTACCTGTGAGTCTTTGTTAGTATATATAATTCAAAACGGACAAGACCTATGTACAGAGTAAAGGACGTAGAATAAGTATTCAACCGTGAAGACGCCGCCGGAAGAGGTAACGCCTAGTGCTTTCCCCCAGGGTGTCCAGTCAAGACAATTAGAGATATCTAATTGATGGTTTAGTATAGATAAATCACAGTACAACCACGGTGCGAAAATAGCTTACCATCGTGACCCCAGCAACAGAAGCTTTTATTTAGGTAGAACTTGCCTCCCCCAGCCCCATTCTTGCAATACCCAGTTTTCAAATCTCCTAACCAGTCGCTTGCGATATCAATAAAAGCTGCAATGATCCCGACCAAGATTCCGGTAGCAATCAATACTATCCAGACATTACTGGCGTCGAGAAACTTGAATACATATCCTACAGCCCCTTGGCCATGGGAATATAGATGCCTCTTCCGCTGGCGCTCCTTTGTGTACTCAAATATCCAGTCGATTGCGGTGAGGTCATCATAGCCTACTCGTCGCCCTGGACCTTCCACATACCAATCAAGGAGACCGCCATCCTTTTGCGCAGTGACATTCCCATTGCTACTCATCGGTCGATCCCATGCAGATGATGCGCTTCCATGGAGCTGTCCATTTCGCGTGTTCGAAGACGTGAACGCTGCGTCTCCAGCAACGGATTCCGTAGTATTATTGGAGAATAGATTCGATAAGCTAAAACCGGATCGCTGCTTTTGTTTGCGCTTAAAGGATATACTGTACACGTCTTCCATTAGAATCACATGGATAGCCCAAATAAATTGGAACCTTACGGCTCATGTAAACCTCCGGCGAGTGAATCATTCAATTCGTGAGGATCCGGTGAAGATAGGTTGCTGTCACGGCGCTGTGTCGGGGAATGTTGTGGGCTGCGCAGCTCTGAGGAAAACGAAGAGGCCCCAGCTTCGCCTCCCGAATGCATAGTGGGCACAGAAATCTATGTACAAGTGTTAATATCCACTTTGCAGGAAGCCATATCCTTTGTTGACGATCCCGCAGTTCTATACCGGTCTCGACTTACGACAACTGGTCCGAATCTCGGAGATGTGGCTTAAGCTCCGCTTCGTGACTTAACCTAAGGCGGTGAGCCTACTAAGTGTGGGGCTGCGCCACATATAGCGGCAGAAAACGGCTTGGAAAAAAAAGTTACTGCTATCGGCATCGATAATTTCCTTCTCTCTCTAACTCATTATAAGAGTTCCTCTGCAGGTAGGGTTGAGCATGGAGACCAGACCTGCCTATGAGAGGGCTCTTGAAGAGTCCCAGCTCTTTGAGCATCTTCCGAATGAGGTAGCGGAACTCATTCGCACATCTTCGGGGACTCAGTACCTCAATGCGCTTGCGGTTGGTGCATTGCGATCAAAATGTACAGAAGGCTTTTTCTGCCTATATGAGCCGATCTTTGTGGATCTGGCAGCAAGATGGCTTGCTTCAGACTTTCATAATAACCAAGTCGACATTATCTCCGCTTTTTCACGAATCCTACCGTTTGCGCCATTTCTTGCTTCTTTCGCAAGCCAATATGCTAGTTCTCGGGCTGGACCTCTATCCGTTTTGGCTGCATCTGACGAGGCAACTCTTCTGCAATTAGATGATACCACTATTCGCACACTATTATTATCGGTCTTTAGACTTCTCTCATATGACTTAGAGACTTTCTCGAGTACCATCTCGCCGTCACGCCTTCAATCCCTCTTCCAACATCCAGACCCCTCCATACGGTATCTTGCGATTCGATGTTTTGCCTTGTATATGCACGCAGCGGATGCTGCCACTGAGAAAATGGTTCAGAAGTATATTGGTGCCGATGTTATTGAAGGTGAATGGGAAGGGATCGTGATCGACTATCGCTGCCTTGGTTTGTGGGAAGAGCGTCGGTGGGGTACTCTGGAGAAACAGACACGAATTGCACGGTCAGGTCGGTCGGTCGAGGACATTCTATCACAAGTTGAGAAGCTCCGGGAGTATTTCACGCCCCGGACTGCTGAAGTCTGCGGTGTTCTTATTCCTCGACTAAATGAGATGCCAACCCCAGCATCTTCAATTGTGAAAGCGCCCACCGCTGTGAGGAATCTTCGTAGGATCGCGACGGCATTGACTGCCTCGAATCCCTTGCTATTAGTTGGTTTACCGAATTCTGGCAAGACTTCTTTGGTCAATGACGTTGCCGCAACCATGGGCCAGTCTGAATCTATGGTTACCTTACATCTAAATGAGCAGACGGATGCTAAGAGTCTTCTTGGGATGTACTCAACGTCCCCTGCCACTGGCTCATTTTCATGGCAACCAGGCGTATTAACTAAAGCAGCCAGGGAAGGCCGATGGATTCTAATCGAGGATTTAGACCGTGCACCTTCTGAAGTTATCGGTCTTATCTTGCCTATAATCGAGAAAGGAGAATTGACTATAGCGAGTAGAAAAGAACGGATAAAGTGCGCTGAGGGGTTCAAGATCATTGCGACCATGAAGTCATCATATAATATCGCAGGCGAAGAAGTCGCTCCAAGCACAACGATCCTGGGAAGCAGATTGTGGCAGAGGGTTCACATCGAACCCCTCTCAATTGACGAAATCCAAGAAGTCATTACGCAAAAATTCCCACTTCTTGAGTCTCGGGTTCCGACTATCATGGATGTTTACCAAAGGCTTTGCTCTTCTTTTCACGGAAGCCTCGCGATCAAGAGCTCTCAAGGCCGGACTCCAGGTCTTCGTGATCTTATCAAACTCTGTAGCCGGATGCATAGGCGACTGCAGCGTCTAGGAGCTAAGACTGGCTATGAAGCTATGCCGGAAGGTGCTGAGGATGAAATATTCTTGGATGTTGTGGACATATTCCTCAGTTACATCCCAGAAAAATCATTGGCAGAGTCACTTGCCCTAGTTGCCGCGGAGGCGCTTCAGATATCACCACAGCGAGCACAGTTCTGCCTTAGTGAACGAATTCCCGCGTATTCCGATCAGGGTAATAACATAGTGCTCGGTAGAGAAGTCTGCCGAAAGATCAAGGTACCCAGCGGTTCAGTTTCCAGGTCATCAACGCGTTTTGCTTCAACCAGAGCTGCGTTGAAGCTTATGGAACAGGCTGCAGCTGCCATACAAATGGCGGAGCCTATGCTCCTTGTCGGAGAGACAGGTATTGGAAAGACAACGGTGATTCAGCAGCTTGCTACCCTAATGCGGCAGAAGCTCACAGTTGTGAACTTGTCGCAGCAGAGTGAAAGTAGTGATTTGCTAGGTGGTTTCAAGCCTGTTAATATCCGTACAATGGCTGTTCCCATGCTTGACGAATTCAATGCTGTGTTTGAGTTGACTTTCTCAGCAAAGAAGAACCAGAAATTCTTGTCGTCCGTTGCAAAAAGCGTCGCTTCAGGAAACTGGGCACGGTTGGTACATCTTTGGCACGAAGCTGTTCGGTTAGCCGATGGTGTCTTCAAATCTAGTAACGGGCCCTCCCAAGAGGGTGAGGAGCAACCCACGAAGAAAAGGAAGTTGGACTCGCCCAAGTACCAGCATTTGCGGCAGAGATGGGAAAGGTTCGCAGGACAATTGAATGACTTCGAGGCTCAGGTGGCTCAGGGCGATGCCAAGTTTGCCTTCGCTTTTGTGCAGGGAAAGATTGTGAGGGCGTTACGAAATGGCGAATGGGTCCTCCTCGATGAGATTAATTTGGCCTCACCGGACACTCTTGAGAACATTGCTAGCCTTCTACACCACGGCACTGAAGGCTCACCATCTGTCCTGCTTTCCGAGGCTGGCGATGTGGAAAGGGTATTTGGACATCCGGACTTTCGCATATTTGGCGCTATGAACCCTGCTACAGACGCAGGAAAGAAGGATCTTCCTCCTGGTCTTCGCTCCCGGTTTACTGAACTCTATGTACACTCCCCAGACAGTGACCGGGATGATCTTCTTGCTCTGATCCAGAAGTATCTTGGTGATTTGACTTTAGGTGACATGAGAATCGCACCAGATCTTGCGCAACTCTATCTGGAAACGAAGAAGCTCAGCAACGAAAACAAGCTTACAGATGGGGCTGGACAACGCCCACACTTTAGTATAAGAACTCTTGTTCGTGCCCTTATCTATGTCATTGATCACGCGCATGTCTATGGCCTACGCCGAGCAGTTTTCGAAGGATTCTCCATGAGCTTCCTGACTGTTTTAAGCCAAGAGTCGGAGAGACTGCTGCTGCCACTTCTTGAGACACACCTTTTTAGCAGTGCAAAGAACGCCAGAGCACTTCTCGGCCAGACGCCTAAGCCTCCAACCGATGGCTTCGACTATGTCCAGTTCAAGCATTATTGGATGCGACGTGGGCACTTGGTTCCAGAGGAACAACCACATTACATTATAACACCTTTCATAGAGAAAAACCTCAAGAACCTGGTCAGAGCAAGTTCAACGCGTCGGTTCCCTATATTGCTGCAGGGCCCAACTTCTGCTGGAAAAACAAGCATGATTGAGTACCTGGCGAAGGTTTCCGGAAACAAGTTCGTTCGTATCAACAATCACGAACACACAGACCTTCAAGAATACCTAGGCTCGTATGTGTCTAGCGATGACGGCACCCTTCGCTATCAAGAGGGCGTTCTCGTGGAGGCACTCAGAAACGGGTATTGGATTGTACTCGATGAACTCAACTTGGCACCGTCGGACGTCCTGGAGGCATTGAATCGACTTCTAGACGATAACCGCGAACTTTTCATACCAGAGACCCAGGAAGTTGTTCACCCACATCCAAATTTCATGCTGTTTGCGACCCAAAATCCAGCTGGTCTTTATGGCGGTCGTAAAGTTCTGTCCCGGGCTTTCCGGAATCGTTTTCTTGAGTTGCACTTTGATGATATTCCAGAGAGTGAGTTGGAATTCATCCTCAAGGAACGCTCCCAAATTGCACCTTCATTCTGTGCTAGAATAGTGTCTGTCTACCGGAAGCTGTCTCTACTGCGTCAAGCCAACAGACTCTTTGAGCAGAAAAACAGTTTTGCTACTCTACGTGATCTCTTTAGATGGGCTCTCCGACGAGCAGATGATCGCGAGCAGTTAGCGATAAACGGTTTTATGTTGCTTGCAGAGCGAGTTCGGAACCCACAGGAAAGGGCAGCTGTGAAGGGTGTGATTGAAGAGGTCATGCGAGTTCGTATAGATGAAGATGTGGTGTATAGTGCTTCCGAATTGGAGAAGCGTGCGCCTCATCTTCCCACCGGAGTCGTTTGGACCAAAGCAATGAGGAGGTTGTTCATCTTGGTGTCCGTTGCACTTGAGAACAATGAACCAGTTCTACTGGTAGGAGAAACCGGTTGTGGAAAGACACAGCTCTGTCAAGCAGTCGCAGAAGCCTATAAAAGACAGTTGCTCATTGTAAACGCCCATGTGAATCTTGAAACAGGCGATCTCATTGGTGCTCAACGGCCTGTAAGGAACAGGGGGGCTATTGAACATCAGCTATCGAGTGATCTTCAAGCAGTTCTTAAAGAAAGTGAACCTTTGCGACCACTGGAAGAAATGAGGCAGGTATTTAGTTCACTTACTGCGGACCAATTACAATCCTGCGATTCAGAACTTGTCCAGAGGATCCAAACGAACATTGCTCGTTTGAATGCTCTCTTTGAATGGTCAGATGGAAGCCTGATTACCGCCATGAAGACTGGGCAATACTTCCTCCTGGACGAAATCTCCCTTGCCGATGACTCAGTGTTGGAAAGACTTAACAGTGTTTTAGAGCCTCATAGGTCAATTTTGCTTGCAGAAAAGGGACCCATCAACTCTATGGTAGTTGCTGACGCTGGGTTCCAATTTCTGTCTACAATGAATCCTGGTGGTGATTATGGAAAACGCGAACTTTCAGCTGCTCTTCGTAATCGAATGACTGAAATATGGGCCCCTCAACTCTCTGAAGATGAGGATATTCTTCCTATCCTCCAGAGAAAGCTTGAACTGGACTCAGACCACATTACCAAAGCAATGCTAGAGTTTGCCAAGTGGTTCAAGTGTACCTTCCAAAATTCCTCCACTACATCGCTTTCTCTTCGTGATCTTCTCGCCTGGGTTGATTTTGTCAACAAGTGCCGAACTGCGGATCCTCTATTCGCAGTAGTACAGGGTGCTGCTATGGTGTTTATAGACACATTGGGTGCGAATCCAGCAGCGATGCTTGCGACAGCGCTGCATGATCTCGAGGGAAATCGTCGACTCTGTCTTGATAAGCTCCGTGAACTCTTTGATGTCGATGCTTCAACTATCTATCTGCAGAAGTCGACCATTGAGATTGAAAACGGCTCTCTACGCGTAGGACCATTTGCCCTTGAAATGAACGGCAGCACAGAACCAGACCCTCAATTCATCTTGGATGCACCCACCACGATAGCTAACTCAGTAAGAATTGCTCGTGGCTTACAACTTTCGAAACCTATCCTGCTTGAAGGAAGCCCCGGTGTCGGCAAAACTACACTGGTGACTGCCCTTGCCAAGGCACTGGGAAAGCCTCTGACACGTATCAACCTTTCGGAACAGACAGACCTCACAGACCTCTTTGGTTCCGATGTCCCTGTGGAAGGAGGTGATGTCGGTCAATTTACTTGGCGAGACGCTCCGTTCTTGCAAGCAATGCAACGCGGTGACTGGGTTCTCCTGGATGAGATGAACTTGGCATCCCAATCCGTTCTTGAGGGGTTGAATGCCTGTTTGGATCATCGTCAAACGGTTTATGTTGCTGAATTAGATCAATCTTTCAAGAGACATCCGGACTTCGTTCTTTTCGCTGCACAAAACCCGCATCACCAAGGTGGTGGCAGAAAGGGCCTTCCTGCCTCATTCGTTAACAGATTTACAGTCGTTTATGCTGACAGCTTTACCGACACTGATCTGAAAAGGATATGCGCAAAGCTCTTCCCTGGAAGTCCATCTTGGCAGACAGACAAGCTAGTTGATTTCGTGTCGTTGCTGAACAAAGCTATTGTCAATGAACGCCGATTAGGGGCTGTAGGCGGTCCGTGGGAAATCAACTTGCGAGACATTCAAAGATGGCTTCAGTTGGCAGACCGTGGGACCCTACAGGTATCGGCTAATAGCTTCCTTGACGTGATAATATCACAGAGATTCCGCTCCCAGGATGACCGAGATTTGGTCACTCGCTTGTATCAGCAAGTTTTCAGCGAGGTCCCGGCGCCCAGCAAGAGCTATTACCATAACCTTACGCCAGAATACATGCAGGTTGGGCTTGGTATCATGCAGAGAGATCTATACCTCCAACGAACCCAAGAATCACAGATGATAGTACTCCCAAGAGACCTCAGTGTCCTCGAGTCCCTTATGCTGTGCATAGAGCAGTCGTGGCCCAGTATTTTGGTGGGACCGTCTGGATGTGGAAAGACCACCCTGATCAGAAAGCTCGCAGCTGTGAATGGCGCAAGCTTAGTTGAATTAGCTCTCAGTGCTGATACCGATACAATGGATCTGATTGGTGGCTTTGAACAAATTGACTATCGAAGGGAGATTTCGTCTCTCGTTCACGATGTCTCTCTGTTCCTTCAACAACATATTCTTTCCATAAATTCAGCAGGAACAGCTCTGAACGAGACCCCAATCGTATTGGAGATATTCGAGAAACTGCAAAGTCCGGATGCCTCTCTGGAAAGCATTTGTACATTCCTCACGATGCTAAGCCAAACGTATTCCCAGACTGCTTTTGATGATATGCTTCTCCGAGCCCAGGCTCTGCTCGAAACAACAAAGCAGTCGGATAAAATGAAAGTTGGCTTCGAGTGGACGGAAGGAGTCCTGACTCAAGCTGTGCAGCACGGCTACTGGGTTATCCTGGATAATGCAAATCTGTGCAACCCATCTGTTCTTGATAGACTGAACTCTCTCACTGAACCAAATGGAGCTCTTATACTGAATGAACAGCGCACTGAAGATGGATCAGCCCGTATCATCACACCGCATCCGAACTTCCGGCTTTTCCTTACGATGGATTCTCGCCATGGGGAATTGTCCCGCGCAATGCGGAATCGTTGTGTTGAAATATGCTTTTTGCCACAGGAAGACGAGACTGCAGTCACTACGTCTGTGCCTGCCTACACCTGCGAATCCTTCTTATACCGTCTTCGGCCTCTTTGGAATCTCGAGCCTTCGGCGAGTCCTGATGATATCTCAAGGCTCCTCTGTGAAGTTTGCTTAGACCATCTTTCAATCAGGGACCTTGCCTACTTGCAGCAGTCACTAAAGTACTTCTTACCTTATCACGGTAAATCAGTGGGTGATGTTCTTTCCTCGGCAATCCATCGATATGTATCGGTTATTCATGGAAACTCGCACTGGAAACCCATCGAATCTACCAAGAAGGCCATTGAGTTGAGCCGCGCTTCCTTCGCTATTCAAGGCCCTTCACAGCCTCTTCATCCTCTTGTAAACGAGCCGCTGGTCTCACTATTGGCAAACGAAGTGCCCTACACTTCGCTAGTGGCCCTGGCACATCTACAGGAGTCTAAACTTGACCTACAACTTCTAAAACAAGGTTTATTGCAAGCGGATGAATCCGGGAAGCTTCTCAAACCCAGCCAGATGAGTCGCTTAGAACGTTCTTTAGCATCGACACGGATACCTTCATTGATGAAGGATGCAACACAGCCGATTGGTTCTTTCCTATCTGACTGTGGCCAGGCAATGTACGATATGATTCAGAATCTCGGGCAGGATACTCTTCAGAACCCTCACATAGCAAACGCTCTTCGAACTGTCCTCAACTTCTGTATGGACATTTTTAGACTGACTGCGGCGAAGGACATCGACGAGGGCGAGTTTCAGGTCTATCTTCAGATTGGTAGAGAGCTGTGCGCTGCGTTATCGAGCTCTTTCGAACCTCTACAGCAATTAGCCGTCGCTCTGTCCCAAGCGCTGAGTCGATTCCAGGAGAGCTGGGCTTTGAAGACTGGGCTCAGTATGCAAAGACTCTGGGAGTCGTGGAGACCTGCAACCCCTGCAACTGGAGGCCAACTGAAGTCTATCCTAGACCTGGAAAGTGTGGCTTCTGAATTCACAAATATCGCGACCAAGACTCATCTTGATCTATCTCAATTAAGCCAAGTGCGCAACTCTCTGGTCAACGCTCAACAATCCATTGTCCTGCATGGTGCCGATGAAGGGCAACTAGTACAGAATCTCAGACAGACAGTTAGTGAGCTGGCAAGCGTTGTACAACGCTCTGATATAACTGCAGCCCCATACTTCTCCAACGAATTCGAAGCATTGTGCCAGTACCATGACATTTTCACGCTCATGCATAACAGCAAAGCAGGTGACAATGTGATAAAGTCCATCTTACCGTTACTGGCTGGCCGTGACGCACGACCATTGAATGTGTCAGCCTTCCAGACACAGGTTCCTGAGGTCCTCCACAGACTTGCTTTATACTCCGGGTCTGAACGCTCATCAACATTCGGTTCAGCCATTAGTGGCACTTTGTCTCTCTCACTATTAGAGAAGTTGACAAATGTCGGTGTCACAATCCTGGGTCAGATGGACTCTCTGGAGGTGGAAAAGCAAACTCTTTCCAAGGCCTTGGCTCTATCTTCTTGGGAGATTGCTATGGATCAGCATCTTGTGCTGAGGCAGGTATCGTCGAAGCTAGCTATGGAGCTAGTCATTTCCCATAAGGAATTCTTCGAGCCTCAATCTCTGGAGAAACTGGTCACTATTCTCCGCACTGTTGAAGAGCAAGGCTACTGCGCCGAATCTGGGTTGCTGAATATCCGCTTAGAAAAGAGTCTCCCAAGCGATCATTACTTCAAGAGTTTCGCAGAACAAGAACTTCCAAACCTCATTGCGTTGTTGGCAACTAACTCAGTACAAAAGAACGACAAGTCAATTCAGCACACTGGAGCAGCTGTAGTTCAATTGGCTGCCATTCTCCTGCGGCTTTACGTCCCAGACAAGCCATTTGATCCATCGCTGGGATTAGTTGTCCAAAGGCAAAGGCATAGCCAACGTTCTTCGGAACTTACTGATAAGGCTACCGCCATCGCTTCATTCGAACGGGTGTTTTCTGGCCAACCCTCGAACATTCGGCATGACCTCATTCAGGGTGAATTGCGTGACCTTGGTTCTGCTCCTCCTCCTTCATCGGTTACCCGACCTCAGGTTTCTGAGCTAAGCATCCTGCACGGCGAATTTACCAGCGTGATAAAATCGGTTCTTGAAAGGCTCCCTAAAGACATGCTTGGCGCAACAAGCGAGATCTCTTCAGAGTCTCAGAGTCTGGTTAATTTACTCCGTGATAATATCCACCAATTGAGTCGACGTCTCAGCACCCACTATAGATCATATGATGACATAGTCGTTTCCGCTGTGCGCTTCCTTCAAATCCTGGACCTGGGACTTTTCCTAGTATCCGGAAGATCACAGCAGTCAAGCGATGTGCAGGTGGTGGATGCAATCAGTGGAAGCACCCCATTCCTTGGAGGCATTCATCACCCACTCTCGGATCTGTACCATCAGAATTCGAATATAGACTCAAGACATGCAATTGACATGTGGTTCCACGAGCTATCATCTTTGAGAGTGGCCGAGAATGCAGATCCGGGAATTCTTCACACTCAAGTTGGGCGCAATGCTCTTCGCCGCCTGTTCGAACAGTTCCATGGGTTATGGAAAGCGAAACTACGGGAAGATCAGGAGGAAGAGGCAAAGAAAGCGAGCCTTTACCAATACAGAGGATCCTGGGAAGACAGCGAGGAGGTTGATGAGAATGAGCTGCGTGAGCTCTTCCCTACTTATGAAGAGGATCCCGTTGATGATGGTAAAAGGCCAACTCGTCTTGATCCCAAGAATATCTCGATCCGACTTGCCTCGCTTCACGCAGACCTCTTCCAATCAGAAGATCCTGGGCGAGTCCTGACAGCTTACGTGAAGCAGTCTGCTCAGCTGTTGGCCTCGCTGTGGTCCGAGGGTGATTCTTCAGTAACACAGGTGCATCCCAGGGATCATCTCTCTGGTGTTCTTTTGTTGCTTGAGGATGCTGTCAACAAGGAAAATAATTCCAAGAACACGTACAACTTCTATGTGGACGCAAATCCTGATGAAGGCAGAAAGCTTGTATCTCTAACAGTGGCAACAGAATCACGTTTCTTACAGATCCAGAGCGCCTGGCCGGAACATGCAGTGCTTGCAGATGTCATCCTTTGCTGCAAGGAGATACTCCAATTCAAGCATGCTGAGCCTGTCGCAAAATTCCTTACCAAGCTTGAAAAGCTTCATGGTCTTGTCCATGAGTGGCAGCTTGTTGCAAGCAGAGAGTACTCAGCTGCTGGTGTCTATGACGAGATCACGAACTTGATCATTAACTGGCGACGTCTTGAATTGTCGACCTGGGCAAGGCTTCTGGATCTCGAGAAAGAGAAATGTGTCCAGGATGTCAGCCAATGGTGGTTTGTGGCTTACGAAGCCATTATCGGAGCTCCTGTCCAACTGGCGGAATCTGGTCAAACAGACCTGAGTGAGCACACTCAAGAAGTGATTGCCACGCTGGAGAACTTCTTCCGCTCAACCACCTTGGGTCAGTACAGCGAACGTCTGCTGCTCGTCAAGAACTTCCGGTCTCTGCTGTCGCTTTACATTCAGGATTTCCCTTGCCTGAAGCAATTGGTGTCCGCACTAGACAACTTTATGCAGCATTACACACAGTTCGGACCACCGGTGCACAAGCTACTCAAGGAGCGGAGGTCGACACTCGAAAAAGACATCAAGGAACAAATCCAGCTGGCCAGTTGGAAGGACACAAATATTGTAGCGCTCCGAGAAAGTGCGAAAAGATCGCATCATAAACTGTTCAAACTCGTCCGGAAATACCGAGAAATCTTGGCTCAGCCTGTCCAGCATATCTTGGAACAAGATATGCCAGATGACAATGAGGAGCCTGGCTCCACTGACCAAGCATTGGTTCTACCTTCAGCAAGTTTCCCAGAAGCGCTCGCCTTGTGCCAGAAGGAGAACAAAATCTGGCAAAACAGACCGCCTCGGTTCAGGGATCCTGATGGCACCGTCAGCAACATGGCTCACATGTATGTGTCTCTCTCGACAGAGTTTGATGTTTCGGAAGATCTCGATAGCTTCATGAAGTACTTCTTAGAAAGCATTAAGGAGTTCCGATCACAAACTCCGAAGACCTTGACTGAGGAAAACAAGGATGATGTCCAACATCTCAAGGTTCAAAAGCGCCGCTTCTATGCTGATACTTTGCGGCGGCTGCTAGAGATGGGTGTCAAGCGTAATGCTAGCACTAGCTTGATTGAAGCACAGGCATCTGTTGCACAAGTTCTTGCCAGCAGTCCGGCTCTTGAGGTTGGCTCTGTAACAACCACTGTCGTCAGAAGCTCCAATCTCTATTTCCACAGACTTCTGGACATCCTTCCTCGTGTTCGCCAAGCGGCGCATAATTACTCGGAAGACCTCAGCAATGTTGAAGTTTCAAGAAGCTCAGGATCCGTTGAGCATCTTTTGCATTTGGTTAGGAAACAACGAGCAGCCATAGCTCCAGCAATGTCTGGTGTGGAATCGCTCCAGTCAACACTCGTCAAGATTTCAAACCTTTGGACATCTAACCCTACCTCGGTCCTCAAGTCACGTCCCCAATTTTCGAATGAGGTTCGGGATACAACCAGAGCTGTAGCCTGGTTGACCCCTATTCTTGGCCTCTCCATGACAGTCGTGGAACTACACGCCAAGTTCTCCGGCATCAACTCGTCGAACATTGTGGATGGCCTTCGCTCCTGGAAAGAAGTCTTCAGCAAGCTGCACAAGTCACTGGGTAGTCTGCCAGAGTTACCCCATGGCGTAACTTCACAGCTACATGTAGAGATTCTGAAGGAAGCATCTTCCTCCTTTGATAAGCTAAACATTGACCTTACGGGCTGGGCCAAGAGCCGACCTGATCTGTCATTCGTCCTGATGCAGCTAACTCCCTGGGCCCACGTTAGTGTTGAGCAAGCTGAGGGGTTGCAGTCTAAGAATACTCTCGCTATCGAGGAGTTTGATGGCAGCCTGCTCACAGCAATTGACAAGATCCTCATCAGTCTCCAGAAGCTGAAGGAGGTACCATCACTGATCGTATCCCCGGGCTCATTGTCACGGAGCGACGAGTTCTTCACCAGGGCTTTGAAGGCGGTTCATTTGTCCGATATCACAAGCTCCCTGGAGTCTGTTTTGGATCAGCTACAGGGCCTCAAGACACGTTCAAACTCTGGTCTTGCTCCTGCTGTCGCATTGGTTGCAAGCTTGTTGCCTATCATGAACAAGTATCGCAACATTTGTAAGGACCTCGTCGATCGCTACCTGACCGTGCATCGTGAGACATGCAAAATGTCCTACTTGCTGGCCAAGTCATTTACTCAGATCGCATCTGAGGGATTCTGTACTCCCGCAGAAGCGTCGACGGAAGAAAGCAAATCTGGGAAGCTGGAGAGTGGAACGGGTCTCGGCGAAGGACAAGGAGCTGAAGATATCAGTAACGATATTGGTGATGATGAAGACTTGTCGGAGCTTGCTCAACAGGAACAGACTGAAGAGCCTAACGAGGATATGGACGAGTCAGGAGACGCAGTAAACATGGATCAAGAAGAATTACAGGGAGAGACAGGCGAACACAAGAAAGAGGATGATGAAGAGGACGCCAGTGGCGACGAAGAGGATGACAATATTGATGAGGAAGTAGGCAGTGTTGACGATCTTGAGGAAACTGCAGTCGATGAAAAGATGTGGGATGGCGCCCACGATGAAGAGCAGAAGGAGACCGAGAACAAAGAAGGCAAGGGACAGTCTGAGTCTGATGAACAAACCGCTGCACAAGAGAGCAAGGAGAAGGAAGGAGAAAAGGGAGAAGGCAAGAACGAAGAAGATCAGGAGGAAGAGGAAGAGGAAGAAGAAGAATCCCCAGACGATGAAGGCGAGGCTGTTGGACGCGAGGAGATGGATGTCACGGATCCTCATGCCAAGGAACAAGATGCTCTCGACCTTCCAGAAGAGATGCAGCTTGACGGCGATGAAATGGATAAAGACGAGGGCAACGAGAGTGACGATGGCCTTGACGATGGTCTCGACGACGATCTTCCTCCTGCTGAAGATGAGCAGCCTTTTGATGGGAAAGAGGAAGAGAATGTTGAGAACCCTGATTTGGATCAACCAGCAGAGGAGCCAGAGGCCGTGCAGGGTGATGAAGAAGCGGCAGCTGAAGATGAAGAAATGAAAGAGGCCGAAGCCGAAGAGACAAATGAGCCCGGGGAAGAAGAACCGGAAGAGGCTCAACAGGATGATTTCTTAACTCAACGTGATGAAAATGAAGAGGCTGGCGAAGAAGTGGCACCAAGCGAGGCTGTTAATGGTGGACTCGGTGCGGATCAAGATCAAAATATGGATCAAGGCACATCTGGCAATGCAGAGCAGGAGAGTGGTTCAGCTGATCAGTCTGATGATAAACAAAAGACTGGTGCTGCCAACGAAGGAGAGGACAATGAGCGGCATAGAGACGCAGGTGGTGGAGATGATGCCAACCGCAGCGATCCGCAGTTGCAAGCCTTCAAGAAAATGGGCGACATCCTCGAACAGTGGCATCGCCGGCAAAAGGAGATCATGGAGGCCGCTAAACAGGAAGAGGACGAGTCAGATCAGCCGTTGCCTCAGGATACCGACATGGCTGATGCCGATTTCGAGCATCTTGCAGACCAAGATGATGTTGCTGATACCCAAGCGCTTGGCCAGGCTAATGACGAGCAAACACAGGCTCTTGATCAAAACAAGGGTGTCGAGTCGGATGCCAAGCATGGTGACAATGAACCTTTGCCAGACGCTTCTGACGAGCCCCAGGACACCCTCGAGAACAAGATGCAGGATGAGATGCAGCTGGATGCCGCTAGCGAGTCTAAGGACCAAACTGCCGGTGCATTGATACCTGGCAGCTCGCACACCCAGGAGCGCACAGTCGACGCCGTTGGCCAGCAGGAAGCCATCGAGGAACTCGATGAGGTAGATGCACAATTGGCGGCAATCCATCTGTCTTCTTCGCTCCCTCCGCTTACACCTCGCGATGAGGCTCAACGGCTCTGGTCGCATTACGAATCCGTCACCAACGATCTCTCACTCTCGCTAACAGAACAATTGCGTCTGATCTTAGCGCCGACCATGGCAACCAAGCTGCGTGGCGATTTCCGGACAGGAAAGCGACTGAATATTAAGCGCATCATTCCATATATTGCCTCGCAGTACAAGCGAGACAAGATTTGGATGCGACGGTCAATTCCCTCGAAGCGCAACTACCAGATCATGCTTTCTGTCGACGACAGTAAGTCTATGTTAGAGAGTGGAAGTGGTCAATTGGCATTCGAAACGCTTGCACTCGTCGCCAAGAGTCTTAGTATGCTTGAAGCAGGAGATCTTTGTGTCCTCGGATTCGGAAACGAGGATCACGTTAGAGTTGCACATGAATTCGGCAAGCCGTTCTCTTCGGAGGCTGGCACACAGGTTTTCCAGCACTTCAGCTACCAACAGACAGGCACAAACGTCCGGAAATTGATCGCCGATTCGATCGCTCTGTTCCGCGAAGCTCGCTGGAAGCAATCACCTGGCTCGGGCAATGCTGACCTTTGGCAACTGGAGCTCATTATCTCCGACGGTATTTGTGAAGACCATGAGACTATCCAGCGTCTTGTGCGGCAGGCTCAGGAAGAACGTATCATGATTGTGTTCATCATTGTCGATGCTGTCAAGGGCAGCTCCATCTTGGATCTCACACAGGCAAGCTTTGAGCCTGATACGGAGAGTGGCACTGGGGAGATGAAGTTGAAGATGAAGAGATATCTGGAAGGTTTCCCGTTCCCTTACTATTTGGTTGTGCGTGACGTTCGGGAGTTACCCGCTGTTTTGGCTACGGCGTTGAAGCAATGGTTTGCGGAGGTTGTTGATGTTTCTTCCTAAAAGTTGCATATTGATGTTTTGGTTTTGGTTATAGAAAAGAGCGTTCCTTTTGTTACATGTATATATTCCTCTTGTATGTGAATACTGGATATAAATTAAAATCTCATTTACTTTGAAAGCACCTCTGAACAAAACCGGGTAGTAACCATAAACCCAAACTCCTATTCTTCCATGCGAATTGATTCGTACATATACAACGTTGGTATCCGAGTTGAGAGACAAAGAGGAAATGCATATTTTACCAGCCATACTTCGACCCAGCCTCCTTCTTGTTCCTTCGTCCAGATGCAAAGCTCTCCTCTAAAGCTTCCCGCTGTGAGCTTGCCGCATTGACCAGTTGTTGCAGCGTGTGCTTTCCGGGAGCAATGGCACGAACCGGGTTGTGCTGAACCGCCATATCAGTCTGATGTGCCATCTCCTGGTTGGCAATGTACTCCTTGTCGGTGTTGAAATGAAGAATCCGCGATTTCGAGGCGTCCGCATTGCGACCAAAGAGGTGCCGTCGTTGAGACCGCGACAGATTCAGATCATCCGCGATATTATCCAACGTCTGCGTCGTGGCCGGCTCCGACGACACAGCCGGAGCCTGAGGCTCGCGCTCTACCTCCGGACCGGCCTCCGGCGCATCCTTGTCCGCAGTATACACCAACGGCTCATACGTGGCGCTCTGCGCCTGAGGACCCGGGGCGACACTCGCAGCGGACTCACTCGATCCCAGCGAGAAAAGACTCACTTTCGGTTTCGGCGCAGGCGGCTGCACAGGAGCAGAGGCAGAAGCAGCAGCAGCAGCAGACTTAGCCTGTTCCGAGACCGGCTCCTGGGCAGCAGTCTCGACCGGTTTCGACGAAACAACTTTCTTCTTCTTCTGCGTGCCCCGCCCAACAGACAACGGCTTAAACATCATCGGATTCCCCTTCAGCTTCACCTCCTCGGGCTTCTTCATCTGCAGCCCACCGTCGCCAGTATCCTCCCTCAAACTCCCAGCCTTGGGAATCGTCCCATCATCATCATCATCCTTCCCCCCGCTGCCAGTAGCCGCCTGTTCCATAGCCCACTCATTCCGACTCTCCTCATCCAACCCGCGATCAAACCCCGGCGCAGCCCCGTCTTCAAACTAAACACCTTCCGCCCCGCAGCAGCACCCTTCTTCTCCGCCCCAGCAGCAGGTGCAGCCCTCTTCGGCGCAGGCAAAAACGAATTAAACCCCGCGAACGCGCCCCCACCGCCTATCTTTGCTTTCTTCCGCGCGGGCCCATCCTCGTTGTTATCATTGGCATCTTCGGGTTTGAGGTCCAGCGCGACCCGGATCTTGCGCGGGTTGCTGCTGTCGACGAGTTTGGGTTTTGGGGCGGCGGTGCTCGGTTTTGTGGTGGTGGTGGTGGTGGTCTGTGGTGTGGGATTTGTGGTGGTTTCGGGTTCGGAGTCTGAGGCTTCGGAGTCGGAGTAGGATACTAGCGCCATTCTTTTTTGGATTTTCTGGGTTTGTTGGATTGGGGTGAGGTTGGAGGTTGATGCGAGTAAAAGTAAAGTAAAGTAATTGATGATGGCGATAGTGAAGGCGGAAGGTTCGATTACTGTATTGACGGTACTGCACGGGCCATTGTATTTAAGGTAGGAAGAACCCTAATCTATGGCTTGTTGACTGCGAGGCTTGGACTTTGGGATGGGGGTTTTTGTCTTCGAGAATTGAGGTCTAGAGTTGATTATGGTTTGGTCTCGTCTAGAAGAGATTATCAGACTTGCTTTGACGAGTGTGTTCACTGTCTAGTACTTCGTTAGTGGGTGTTTTGTAGAGCGTGGATACTTTGGTACTTGAGCTTGTATGCTATCTCCATGGCGTATCGTCAAAGTGCATGGAGTATGGAGTACTCTAAGCAAAGTTTCACTTAACACAATACTGACAAACGAGGCAAATAAAGAAATACGAAAAATGAAGGAGAATAGCAACGGATATCACCACTCCAACCTCCAACCGGTTATACACCTCCCCAACCCGAGCCTAGCCACACAGTACCTATCCATCCATCCATGAAACGCCCAAACCAGCCTAGCCAATCTCAGTCCCGGCAAAATCCCTACTTATACTGTGTACTTAATTACCGAAACCGAGAAAAAACACAAGAACGAGACAAACAAACCCAACCAAGAATGACATCATCCCAGCCCACCCAATCTCAAGACCCAAGATGATCAGATAAGATAAGAAAAACCACCCGCTTACTCATTCCTCTTCTTTTCCATGTCACATTTTCATGTTTATCACATACTCCCTCCATTTTAATTCATTTCCCTCCCTTAATCCATC